ATATCACTTATATGCAGAAGCTTATAAAAAAGGGTACAAATGAACTTATCTACAAAACAGAAACAGACTCATAGACATAGAGAACAGACTTGTGGTTGCTGGGGTGAGGAAGGGGACTGGATTAGGAGTTTGGGGTGAGCAGATGCAAACTATTATATATAGGATGGATAAACAACAAGGTCCTACTGTATAGCACAGGGAACTATATTCAATATCCTGAGATAAACCATAATGGAAAAGAATACGAAAAAGAATATAGATGTGTGTATAAGTGAATCACTTTGCTGTACAGCAGAAATTAACACATTATAAATCAACTATACTTCAGTAAAATAAATTTAAAAGAAGAAACAAGAAGGAAAGTGTCATATGAACCCACTGCTGCCACAAAAGTTAATATAAGAAAGATAATATATCACAGGCTCTCACTGTGCAAGCTGCCTTTATACAAAGATCAAACAACCCAAAAATTCTTATTTTCTTGCGTCTTTGTCGCATATCATTTCCTGTTTTTGGAGATCCTTGCTACTTGGTATGGAAGAGGCACACTAGGTGTTTCTATTACCACTGAAAAAACAGCACTTATTTTGTTTTCCCCTTTTGTTTAAAAAAAAAAATAAAAGGTAGCCCAAACGTATTGAGACCTCCTTCTGCTACAAATTTCTACAAATACAGACTGAAGGACCTTTAGAGTCAAATCATTTTTAAAGACCCTGTGGTGTTCCAGGAGGACTCATGGAGAAGAGGCCAAGGAAAAGATGGTTGGGGAAAGTGCAGCCTCAAACAATCAGACACTGACCATAAGTTAGCCATGCTTGAGCCTAGACATAAACACTGCTGATAAGTGGGTTCAGCCTCCTTCAGTCCAGTAAATTCTTTCAGATCAGCAGAATGCGTCTTTGCCAGAAGTGAAAAAAGGAACACCAGCTAATGTGTACCTTAAAAATAAGAAATATCTTTAAAATGGGTAGGTCAAATTCTTCCATAAATACAAATCAATTTATAAATCTGGAATTAGCCAGAGGAAGGAGTTCTGTAACGCACAGCCATAGTAACCATGTCCAACTTTAATCTTAGATTGATCTGCAAGGTCCTCTCCAGAGTATCTTGAGAAATATGTGTATATAAATGAATCACTTTGCTGTACACCTGAAACTAACACAGTTTTTAAATTAACTATAATTTAATAATAAAAAAAAAGATCTTGGGGTTTCCCTGGTGTCGCAGTGGTTGAGAATCTGCCTGCTAATGCAGGGGACACGGGTTCGAACCCTGGTCTGGGAGGATCCCACATGCCGCGGAGCAACTAGGCCCGTGTGCCACAACTACTGAGCCTGAGCATCTGAAGCCTGTGCTCTGCAACAAGAGAGACCGCGATAGTGAGAGGCCCGCGCACCGCGTTGAAGAGTGGCCCCTGCTTGCCACAACTAGAGAAAGCCCTTACACAGAAACGAAGACCCAACACAGCAAAAATAAATAAAAATAAATTAATAAACTCCTACCCCCAACATCTTCTTTAAAAAAAAAAAAAAAGATCTAGCATAACATCCATGAAGAAGTCAAAACACTCATGGATATCAGTGCCTTTCAGTGACGTTTAAACCCATGTTGCTGACCGAAGTCCTAACACAGGATATAGAGAAGGCAGTCCTTATTCAAAAGAAAGAAAGAAACATGTTCAAAAGTCATGGGAGGAATTCCCCAAATGCTTGCTTTAGAAGACAATTTCCCATCGCTCTTTAAAAAACACATTTCCTGATAAAAGACATTTTCATACAGATTTAAGCACTTTATTCAACTTTCAAATGTAACAAAATCATTCCTCAGATGTTGGTTGAAAAACGTGAAGACTCCAGAACCTTGTGGAAGCACTGGTTTTTAACTCAAGATGCATTAACTTTAGAAATGCCAACCAGGTAAAGCCCTTAGTTTTTTTTTTCAGTTTCTTCATAATAAGCACAATTGTACACTTTGCTCAAAATTTAATGAGTCTTAATGTTATCCTTTCAAGCAAGGTGTGCCTTGTATCCACAGAAACATCCCTATAAATCTGAACAGAAGTATATCTTAATTTCCTCCACTAGATAGAATCTTGGTTTAAAGTTTGCAGTGAAAAGTTGCACTGCATAGGAATTGAACGTTGAGTTCTCATCCTTTGTATATGGCTTATTGTTCTCAGCTGTGCATTAAGATCTCCACCTGATGTCAAATAGGTTGGCAGTTTTGGCAGATATGCTAAGTATAAACAGGGAGAGAGAATTAGATCCAAAATTCCATCAAGAGCATGTGTCATCACACAAGTCGAAGACCAAGCATCACAGGAGTATTATTGCCACAAAGGTCTTTACAAATCTACTTAATTTTTCCATTTGACAGAGGAGGAAACAAATTATAATAACTCTGGCTACCATCAATAAAGCACTTTGCTTTAATGCATCCTCTAATTCTCAATGCTACCTTATGAGGGAGGTACTATCATTATCCCATTTAGGAGGAGAAAACTGAGGCTGAGAAAGACTGAGACTTCCTTTAGATCTCCCCTCAAATGTTACCTTATCTGTGAAGTGCTCCTTTCATAAAATAGCAACCCCTCCTCGGCACTCCCTTCTCCCCCATTATCTTGCTTTATTTTTCTCCCTGCCATGTATTGCCAACCTGACACATCCTACATTTACATTTTTTGCTGTCTATCTTACCCTTGTAGCTTATAAGCCTCATGGGAAAGGGGCTTTTCTTTGTCCACTACTATATCCCCAGCACAGAGAGTACTAGGCACGTACTTGGTGCTTAATAAATATCTGTTCAATAATGAAATTGTTGAAGAAATCTGTCTAAGGCCACTGAGCTAGTATTTGGTGGACCCAGTATTTGGATCCAAGACTATACCTCTTGAACACACGCTTTTAAACATTTTGCTATTACTTGAGGTCACTTCATCTTCTCTAATATATTGGCTTATTTCACATCAAGATATTTTGCAGGAATTCCAGGTCGTCCTTCATTTTCTCTGGTTGCCTCTCTTGCTGTGACTACACTAAGAGGATACTTATTTGAAGGACTCCCAAACGGGCTGGGAGTCCTAGATGAGATTCTACACTCAGCTAACTGGTCATCAAATCTCTCTACATCTCATTTCATCAACAAGGAGCCTTCTTTCTGTTCCAGCTCGAACACTATCATTCTAAATTCTCAGAACAGAGATTTACAATGTGCTGAAGACGCCCCAGTGACTCCAAATGCTGGTGGAAGCCTCCAAACCAAATTCATTTTAATTGAATTAAATTAAAAACTGTGTGTTTACCACATTCCACCTTCCCAATGCCTGCCGCCCCCACCAAGAACAAAAACAAAAATGTACCTCTTGATGGAAAAGTCTGCAAGAAAATACACAAAGATATTAACAGAGGAGGTCTGTAACAGCAGGGATATTTTTTTTTTAATTTTTACTCTGTATTTACCATATTACTTTTGTAATGAAAAAAATACACTTTAATTTTAAAATAAATCTAAAAATAAAGATACAGCCAACAGAACTCTTAGGGAAAATAGAGTTTTATCAAGAAAGCAACAATTCATTTGTTGTATTATTTTTTAAGTGCCATTATGTGTTAGGCACTATATTATTCCTCCAAAAATAGATGATCAGTCTTTATAAAGTTTAAAAACAGCAAGAGTCCAGGATAAAAAGTTTTGCTAGATCTGATTTCATTTTAAGAATGGGTTAGATTTAATGATAAGATAGAAAGAAGAGAGACTACTCTGACCCTTTAACATTTATCTTTTCCACAGACACCATGCAACTGCCAGGTTTCATTCTGGTTCAGGTATGTGTGACAGTCAACTTAAGATTGACTTGAGTCTTGATCAGAGTAGAGACACTTTTCTAACGAACATAGGGTGGAATTCTCAGTTTTGAATTCTCCCCCTTTCCTTTCTCCCATTATGGTGGTCCACTTGACTCTCTTGCTCTCCTGGTCCCTGGAGTCTCCACCCACCTTGATATTTTCTTTATCAACCAGTGCTCTCAGTCATACTGACAGCCAGCTTCCTGGTGCCCATCCTCTCAGATTTGCCATAGCAGAACAACACACCTAACAAGATGGGGCAAGAGGAAAGCAGCCAGGCTCGCCTGCAGCCCCAGTTTATTGACTCATTAATAGCCTTGGTGTAACCTAGTCTTCCTAAAGCAATAGGGCAGTAATTAGCTTGGCCTGGCCTGTCAGCCAGCCCACAATAAAAGGCAATAAAATCGGAATAAATGGAAAGATAAAAAATAAAATCAGTTTATAAGCAGCATACCTTTAAACATTTTATTATCTTTTAAAATTAGAGGGCTTTGACTTTTAATTCCATAATGAATAGCCCACGAAGTTACTTGTCTGGACAAAAGGCATAGCAGCTTCAAGCACCAGAACAAGAGTGCCTGGGAGCACAGCAAGTTGCAAATTATAAATTCCTTTATAGACAGCAACAATGTCTCCAATCCTCTGATCTTCCTCATGAAGCTGCTTCCAGAGAGTAGTAAGTGTTCTGCTGTCCCTGAAGGAGCCTAGGACCGGCAGCCTAGGAACCTCACAGCGCAATTAGCAAGCAGTTCCTTACTTTTAGTGGAAGCAACAATGTTTATTTCTGGACTTGGTGCCCACTTCACAAACACCCCAGTATGTTTTCAGTGTATATACATGTATGTATGTGTATATATATATATATATATTTCAGTATATATGTATTTTTATAAATATATTTATATATATATACACACACAAATATATATATATAAAATGAACCAAGCACGAAGCCAAACAGAAATGTCACTTCAGTTTACATCAATGCTGGATTTCAATTTAGTTATTCAATTGTTTCCATGGTCATCCTGACTTGCAATGTTATGATGGAGAAGCCTCAGATGTTTCAAACTAGAAATGAGGAAGTGGGGATCTTACCACCACTGTCTGGTTCATCCCCAAATCTGTTTCCTCATCAGCGAAAAAAAAAGTTACCAGTGTCATTGAGAACGATGGTCTTGGTGGCATTGTCCCCACGGTCTCATCTGAGCAGGTGCTGCTACTGCGGTGTCTTGAGTGGGGCAGGAGCAGTGAGCTGTGCTGAGACCCTAAAGCCCAGAGAAAACCAAGAGAGGAAGGAGCCGAAGCTAAGGAAGTGTGGCCAGCAGGAAGTGAGCCCCTAAGGGGAGCAGCCAGAACTAGAGTGTACAAAGGAGCAAGGCGACCTCAGGCTCAGCACAGACCAGGATGCATGACGCTCTGAGTTGCTAAGTGGACACAGCGCCTGGAGACCCCAGACAGACAAGTACCAGCACACTAATTCTAGGCTGTCCTGGTTCAAAGCAGGATCTAGCCCAGAAAAAAATCTCTCTAGAAAGGATTAAGGAGTACACATATAGACTCCGACTATGCAGGCTACACTTCAAGCCTCGTTCCCAGAGGACAAAAAGTAAGGCATGAGGAGGAAGGCCGAAGCTCCTACTGCAATGCTCAGACCCACAACCATCCCAGCGATGAGAGCCAGGTGTAAGCCAGGAAGAAGAAGCAGAGCTGCTATTACCCTCCAAGCTTTGATCAAGATTGGCTCCAGATTGGAATCTATTGGTGGAAGATCCTTGATATTACAGCAGAGCCGGATTGGGGGAGTAAACTAAGGGAAATCAGAGACTACCTTGAGATTCAATGAAATTCACCAGTGAAGGTTCTCAGCACCCTGGCATTAAGTAACTGAAAGGCCCCAATGGGAAAGAAAATGTACTGAGATAACTACAATAGTTATTAACATTTGACATCTACCCTAGCCTGAGTGTTGGTGGAAAACTGCTTTCAAATCTTTGTGTTTCCTGAAAGTGAGCATTTGCATGAAAAATCAGTACTTTGAATTCCTCAGTGTGTGTCTGCTGTCATTGGACAGGGGACATGGCTCCTCTGGGCACAGGCCTGGGAACCGTCTCCTTAGATATCAAGATCACCGGCAGGGGCACCAATCTGCCAGGTTCTACATGGAGCCACCCTCCAAAGCCAGAAGAGAAGACTAGGAATTTTAACGAGCTACTGTCTTGACACTTTCAAGTGACTCCAGTGGTTTACTTCCGCTCTTGGCCAGGAGTTTCCTAACCAGCTGCTGGGTAAATGCTTAGTTAGCGTTATTTTCACTCCGTCTGGGTCTGTGACTAAAAGGTTAGCAGTGTTTTGTTTTACAACATGAGGGGAATTTGGTGCCTTGGAAACAGAGTGGCTAACTCAGACCAGTGGTTTTCATCTTTTAGAAACTTAAAAAAAAAAAACAAAAAAACCGGCGTCAGGGCTCTACCCCTAGAGATTCTAACGTAATCTGTCTTGGGTAGGCAGTATGCCAGGGAATGTTTTAAAAGCTCCTCAGGTGATCCTTAGCACTTCTCAAACTCTAATGTGCAGCTGAATCCCTCAGGATCTTGCAGAATTCACAGATCCCAATCCAGGAGGTCTAGGCTGGAGCTTCAGATTCTGTATTTTTAACTAACTCCCAGGTGATGCCCAAGCTGTCTGACTATAGGCCATAGGTTGAGATGTCAGAAAATGGGGGGGAAAGTGTCAGGAAAGAGGATTCCACATTCATTTCCTCCTGGGGCTTGGGGGGCGGGGCAGTGAGTAGATGAGCCCTCCCTGACCAGGGCAGACTCCACACCCCTCCACACCCCAAGATCCATGGCTCTTTCTTCAACCATCTGCCAAGTTGAGCAGATGCTCCCAGATCTCAAAGATGACCTTCTGAGTTAGCTATGAAAATAAGCAATTATCCAAATGTCCAGTAAGGCCTCAAATCAATCAGGGCGACACTAATGGGAATCCAAGAGTCAAGCAGTGAACTTTAAAAAAAAAAAAAAAAGAATATGCCTTTGTTTCGCTTTGGCTCTGGGCCTGTGGGGAAACTCCGTAAGCAGAAGCTTAGGTAGCCCTTGCCCGTCAGATGGTGAGCAGGGGCTGAAGGAGGAAGAGGGCTCCGTGTACACACAGCGGCTCGGTAGGGCTCTCTACGCAGTCCACAAACCTCTGAAGACTTAAGTCTTTGGCCACCTTGAGACTGGACCCAGTGAGGTCCTCCTGCAGTGGGTACCACTGTCTCCTTTGCCTTCACCTTCCAGACATTCTGCTTTCCTCACCTCCCTCCCCGATCACACATGTCTAGCAAGTTGAACTGCAAACTCTCTGTGACCTCTAGATCTATGGGATCCTCAGCCTTACTTCCCAGGACATTCTTTTTTCTCCTCCCAAGCTCAGAAGCCGTCTCCTCAGCCAGGTCTCACAGCATGGATTCCCCTACCTGGAAAGTCTCCCTTTCACATTTCCAGTGACTGAAATACTCCTACTTCCCAAGGCCCCGCTTCAGTCCTATCTTTCTTGTCAATCCTTCCCACACCCACCAGGTCCCACCAGGTCCTGGACACTTCTAGGACCTTCCTTGTCATCCACGGCTTTTACATGCCCTGCTACTCCCGAGTTACTATCTTTTCACAAGAATATGGTGTATCTCCTTAAGCACATCATAAACTTCTGTCCGGCAGTACTGTGCCTATACTTCCTTGTACCTCCTGTCCCTGGTACAGTCCTTTGTAAATAGATGCTCAGTAAGATTTCTCACCTGTTTACCAGAGAGCTCACCACAGTTGATGAAACTGAGATTCCCAGAAGCAAGATTCTCAGGAGCGTCCGCTCACAGACAAGACTTCCTACCACTAACAGAAGTATCAGTTGCCTTGGTGCCTCAGATCCCTCTCTCATCCAGGGATGTTTGCCATTATGCAGCACCAAACAGTCCCTCTTCTGGATTCCCTGAAAGCCCTATGCTTTATAATCCGACAGGCCTCCTGTCCAGGCCAACCCTTGTGTTGGGATGTGCGTCCAGTTCAATAACTGAATCTCAGGCCTGTGCAATTTTCACTCCTTGTAAGGAAGTCAGACGTCTTTCAGGATCAGGCCCTCGGTCTGTTCCTCTGAAGAGAAAAACAACAGGGTGTGGTTGGGAGAAAAGTAGAGACCCAGCCAAACAAATGTCTCCTGGAAAAACCACTCATGCAGCTAGAACAAACAGGTATGACCACTCCACTAGCCCTGAGCAGAACCCTGCACCAGTGCAGGCCGCAGATGTATACCTAGCAGCACCATCCAATGCCGTCTATCCAGGAACCACCACCAAACTTTCCGATGGGGGGAAAATTTTCCCAAAAAACAAAAATGCTGGAAATTACCGTGTGATTATTGGAATGCACCATGGGAATACTTGGAAAGCAGAACCTTGCTGAGGGGTCTCAGGAGTGTCCTAGTGTTCTGGCAGCCCTTGACTAACAGCAAAAGAGAAAGGAGAGGGCCCAGTGCTCAAAGGCTCTGCTCCTTTCTCCCCCAGGACACAAGGCCAAAGATGCTGCCTTAAGATGCACGTGGGACTTGCCCTGGCCAGGTTCTCTGTTGGCCTTGGGCACTAAAGGCTGCTCTGAATCCTCCCCCGCTGCCCTCAGGCTCCTCTTTTGTTTCAGTCAGACTTCTCCCAGGACCCACTCCTCAGGCATTACAGAGAAGGAAGAGAGTTAGATTCAGTCAAGGTGGAGGGGGGAGAAGACTTTGCAATTAAATTGCTAATTAAGGAAATACCAACCTGAAGAAGCTAATTTGCACTGACCTATTTAAAATATCTAGCAGCAGATCAGGCATGCATTGAGGTACGGCCCTTTTATGCGCCAGCCAACTGGCTTTCTTTCAGAGCAGCGGCTATCAATAATTCCATGCTGAGGAGCATCTGATAGGAAATCAACCGCTGGCCCCTGGAATGCCAGCATTCCCCACTGCTCTGTTTTCCCAGTTGTCAGCTCTGTTTATAAATTGTCCATTTATAGCAAATCCAGCACCTGCTATGAACACCTCATCCTGCCAAGTGTTGGAGTGCATCTCAGAAAGAGCCACTATAGACTTTTTCAGTTCCTTTTAACCTTTTCCCAGTCCTTGAGTTTGAATATTTGCATAGGAATTCTGTACAGAAAAAAAGGCTAGATAGTCTATTAAAAGTTAGCATTTTGCTCCACTAAAAAAAAGAGAGAGCAAGAGAGCAAATCATCATTCTCTTGGGAGACACAGTGCTCTTTCTGAACAAGTCTGACATTGGGACACATTTAAAATAACCCTAAAAAATTCCACAGGGTAAAAATGCTCTGGAGAAAACTTAAGGAAGGCTTTCTTTTGAACTCTATTATGTAGCTTTTTAGCTCACTGTCTCTACAGCCACTTAGATAATGCTGCCTGCTGCTCAAACACATTATGTAAAATATATTTAAAAACACCTTCTTCAGTGCTGGAAACCCACTATGTGACCTAGATTTGGGGTTTTTTTTTTTTTTTTCCTTCTCAGTTATCCATTTGCAAAGTACTTAAAGTTAATTCTCAAAATTCCACCCCCTCCCCCAATCCCAATATGCTTCTGTTCATTTTGTTCTATGCAAAACAAAATAAAATCAATGGCACACGTAGAATATTGGTGGAGTGTGGGTTCATGGTTTCTAGAGGGCTGTGAAGGTCAAACGAGGTGCGTGTGGATAACCTTGGGGTGGTGGGGCAACAGGCTTGATGCTTCAGTTTACAATTTGCCACAATAATCCTCCTCGAGCTAAGATGGTCACCCTTTGAAAGCCCTGAGGGAGACCCTGATTAAGACCACGTGAGCAGAGGCAGCTGGGCTGAGGGGGGCAGCATTCCTGAGCCCCAGCTCCGCCTTCATCCAAGTGGGCAGCCCCATATTTTTATGAGAGGTCTCAAGGGCTTGATGCTTCTTCTTTCTTAAAAATAAAGTTGAGGGCTTCCCTGGTGGCGCAGTGGTTGGGAGTCCACTGCCGATGAGGCCGACGCGGGAGAGTGCCCCGGTCCAGGAGGATCCCACGTGCCGCGGAGCGGCTGGGTCCGTGAGCCATGGCCACTGAGCCTGCGCGTCCGGAGCCTGTGCTCCGCAACGGGAGAGGCCACGGCGGTGAGAGGCCCGCGTACCGCAAAAAATAAAAAATAAATAAAATAAAATAAGGTTGAGTTATCTGGATATAAAAGACAACCCAGGCGAGGTTATTATTATTATTCGCGGTCCAGCAAAGTTAGGTGGTCGTGAAATCGGGAAAAACTGAAGTGATTCAAGAAATAGAATCAGAGGACATGGAATTAAATACCCGTGAAAGTGGAAATGTTGCTCTGACACAATGTGTTTTCCTTTGCACAGGTCAGGGTTGTCAGCATTCCAAAACATTCCAAAAACGTGTAGCTTTTGTTGCAATCCGTATAGATTAAGCTAATCTTAGATTACATAGGCATCAATTATTTCTTTCCAGAGTGGGATTGTGCTTAAGCAGTTACACGTTACTCCAATGCAAATCATCCTTGCTTACCTTTTGCTCATTCGATGGCCATCTGTTTTACCAACCTGGATTCTCTCACTCATCACGGAAGTCAAGCCCCTGGAGATGATCTCTGAGATGCCCCTGCTGGAGAAAGGAATGTGCAAATTACGAGACCACAAATCAGTTTGAAAACTCAATGACTCCTTCCCATAAATCTGTGTCCTTAATATTAAAAATCATTTAGAGGTGCTGAAAAGAAAGAGAACTGATCGCTAACAGAAAACAGCAGCCCTACTCTCTTCGGGGCTCGGATTAGTAGTCGAGAGGGGTAACGCAGGTCTAAATCCATATTCTGCTACCAAAAATAGAAGAGAGGAAACCTTTGAAGCCAAAGAAGGCCTAAGAATAACTGTCAGCAAAGAGCTAGAGGGACATGGGCAGGAAGCAATGCTCAAATGCCAGTTTTGTGCTGCCTTTTTTTTCTTCCCCTCCCAGTGGCTTTCACATTCGTCCTGTTAAAAAGATAGCTTTCAAAGACTTCCCTTCCTCACAGATACGGAGCCCTTCACAGCCTGCCTTTCCGCAGTGGCTCAGGGGCCTGGCACTCCACATTGCTTCCATGCAGCCCTTGGATTTGGTGCTACTTCCCCACATGGATCACTTCAATCTGTTTAAGGTTGAACAGTGAGCCCTTCATAGACCACGTTCCACAGAGAGCCCTCAGTAGGAAATGGTTGGCTGAGCAAACATTTGTTTCCTGTTTTGCTTTTGATAATTTTACACTTCAGCTCAACCTAGCTTTCCTCTTTTAAATTGTTTTTGTAGTCATAAAAATGAACGCACCAAACCAGTGAAGTTTGTTTGATCTCATGTGCTTTGAATGATGCTATTAAAAATATACTTGAATACATCTTATAAGAGGTAGTGGAATTAGAAGAGATTCCTTGGAAACAAGAGGGTGAGGGAGCTTTGGGATGGCCTTGGGATGCCTGGAGAGACACAGAGGGTAAGAGGGTTACTAGAAGGAGATCAGCTTCATGGGTGGTGATGAGGTAGCTTAAAGGCCTGAGAATGGAAAATAGGGTATGGGGGAGAATGTAGGTAAGACAGACATTAAGACAGCACAGCCTCTGCTAGCCGTACAACTTTATGCAAATTAGAAGGAGGCACCCCTTTTTCTGAGCACACACAAACATGTGAGGGCACAGGGCTAGATTTCAGCCCTCGCTCTTCCCTTTGGCCAGGTGCCCTTCTGCAAGGCAGAGCCTGCACATATAACATGTGGGGCTCGGGAAGAATGTGTGCAAGAGATTGAAAGGCCCAAATGGGGAAATTTAGAATTGGCAAAAAAAAAAAAAAAAAAGGGTCACGACGAATGCTTCTGGTAGCGTACAGGAAATCCTGTTTTGAATCATAGATCTGTGCTGGCATGTATGGGTGGGAGGATGGTTGGCAAAATGGATTTCTCCACACCAGCTGTATCAAAACGTCTCCGTGGAATGTTTGATCCTTTGTCATGTTTCATATGATACATGTATTGTTCATTTCACAAGAACTTTGTGTTCCTTACATCTAATGAATAACGTCCAGGATTAATACAATTTAATTTGTCAGGATCATAACCCATGCCTTGGCACAAATTATTGTGACTAGTTATAATGTGAGCAATCCTCAGCCAAGACCTGAGAACATTTAGACTTCACAGGATGAACAGTTGCGGACACTTAACTGCCTTTATCTCAAAACTCTTGAATGTCTTATCGAAACAACTGGTTAAACTTCAGCCAGACAAAAAAATGTAACAACCTCCACTCCTCAGACAGATTGTTCTTCCAAGGTCATGGCCCCAATTTGTAATATAATCCTTTATCAATCTGTCTGGGTTAGGTCCATGAATTGCATCATGGTTAGCACAACTGAAGTGGGCAAAAATCAAAATCTCATAGAAAATAGAGAAACAAGAAAAAAAACAGAACATGACATTTCATACCGATAACATAATCAATATGTAGTAAATGCACTACTCTTGCTCAGGACCTGGGCATTCAGTGACTACTAGGGAACCATTAACGTTTATGTGACAATTTACAGATTTTACAGTTCCTCAGCAACGGTTCCATGCACCATATTGTCAAATCATCAGAACAGTCCTTTGAGGTAAGTATGGTTTTGTCATCACCTTTCGATAGATGAGAAAATTGAGGATTCAGACAAGCTGAGAGACTTGCCCAAGACTGTCCAAATAGTAAATGACAGAACCAGGCTTCAATCCCAGGCCTTCTGGCTCAAATCAAACGAGCAATCTTGCTAATATACCGATTCGCTAGTTCAAACGGAAGCATCTCCTAATGGCTTTCTGCATCACAGACAGGGTCTACCTATTTCTGGGATGAAAAATAGCCTGATATGCGATGGGATTAGCAATTATACATTCTGGCAACTTCAATGACTTAGCTTTTGAACATCTATTTTACTTTCTAAAGATTTTGGTCTGATTTTTATATGTAAAACAATATTCTCTGTTGCAATTGACCCAGGCATGTAGCAATCAAAAGATTCAATAAAGGGCTTCCCTGGTGGCGAAGTGGTTAGGAATCTGCCTGCCAGTGCAGGGGACACGGGTTCGAGCCCTGGTCTGGGAAGATCCCACATGCCGCGGAGCAACTAGGCCCGTGAGCCACAACTACTGAGCCTGCGCATCTGGAGCCTGTGCTCCGCAACAAGGGAGGCCACGACAATGAGAGTCCCACGCACCGCGATGAAGAGTGGCCCTTGCTCACTGCACCTGGAGAAAGCCCGCGCACAGAAACGAAGACCCAACACAGACAAAAATAAATAAATAAATTTAAAAAAGAAATTCAATAAAATCTATGGAACTATAAAAGCCAATAGCAATATTATTAAAAATCATAATTTAAATAGGATAGGTCTTTTGGGTTTTTTAAATTTTTAAAAATTTGTTATTTTTAGCAAATAAAAATTGTATATATTTAAGGTATACAAAGTAATGTTTTTATATATGTTTACGCTGTGAAATGATTACGCGATCAAACTAATTAACATATCCATCGCCTCCCATAGTTACGTTTTCTTGGTGTGTGTGTGCTGAGGACACTTGAGATCTCTTGAAAATTGCTAACTATAGTCACTGTGCTATACATTCATCTTATAACTGTAAGTTTATACCCTTTGATCAGTATCTCCTTTTTCCCCTACTCCCCAGCCTCTGGTAACTACCATTTTACTCTCCACAAAAAGCAGGTTTTGTCAGGTTTTGTTTTTATTGTCTTTGGCTGGTTTGGAATGTTGGGGAGTGTGATGTTTATTTTAACATGAAAGCATTTAATGAAGTTTAAAGTAGGTCTTGCAAAATCGGCTGAGGCCGATTCTCAATGTTGGTGTATAGTCGACCAGTTCTCACTGTTTGATGACCAGCCATCCAGGTGAGAGGACAGTCTGGTGTGCTGCCTCGGCATCCAGGTCAGTAATGCCACATCAGAGGCTAAGAATAAGGTCCTTTATGCAGTCCCTCTGCCAAACACATTTTTGGAGAAGTAAGAGGTTAACTGATTTCAGTTAACAACTGCCTCTGAGTTATCTGCTTCTATAATAACCACTCTATCTTAATTCAGATTCCTGATTAAAAAACTATTTTTCAAAATTGAGGATACCTTTGTATTTACCATTTCAGGAGTCTGAAACCAATTTGATTGGATTTACAATATCATTATCTCAAGTTGTCTAACAAGTGACAAAATACTTTGGGAAGTTGTAAGGCCAAGGCTGGCAGCAATCCATTGGAAGGCCTGCTTTCTAGAAGATTCAGGCATGTAATCAAATGATGACAACAGATGGTCAAACTCATCCAACATTACATCTTTACAATAAAAAACAGCAGCCCTTAGAATAAATCTAGTAGAAATGACACATAATCTAATCAAGTAACTAGTGATAGTTCCAATAAGTAGTCCCTTACTGTTTACATCCACTTCAGTTCTGCATGTCCAGGTTACATTGTTAAGTTATCACTTCCCAACCTGCTCTATGATACCAATTCCACTTCTAGCTTTCTAACCTAGAAAAATTCTTGTTTGCGTGAGATGTGTGCAAAAATGTTTGTGGCAGTGCTGTTTGTTATTTTTTTTAGCTTTTTTAAAGGTTTTAAACACCCTAACTGGCCCTCATGGAAGAAATGGATTTGAATGTTTTGACTCAATGTGAATACAGCAGAATGATAAACAATGAATACAATGAATAAACTGACGCACGCATTTCAGGATGGATAAATCTCAAAATATTGTTGAATGAAGAAAAGCAAACTGAAAAACGCTGTGTTTAGTGTGCTACTTGTCATAATTCATTCGGGCTGTTAACAACAAAATACCACAGGCTGGGTGGCTTATAAACAGCCAAAATGTATTTCTCACAGTTCTAGAGGCTGGAAAGTCCAAGACCATGGTGTCCGCATGATCAGGTTCTGGTAAAGACGCTCTTCCGGGTTGCAGATTGCCAACTTCTCACTGTGATCTCACATGGAAGGGGCAAGGGACCTCTCTGGAGCCTCTTTAATCCCATTTGTGAGGGCTCTGCCCTCAGGACCGAATCACTTCCTAAAGGCTCCACTTGCTAATACCATCATCCCGGAGGGTTAAGATTTCCACCTATGGATTTAAGGGAGGTGGCACACAAATACTCAGGCCATAGCACTAGTATCTAAGTAAAAAACTTAAAACGTACAAAATAAGTTATAAATGGGTACATACAAACATGTATCCTTCTGGGGAAGGATAGAAGAGATGAAGAGAGCTTTGCTCTCCCTGTAATTCTTTTCATCTTTAGCTAGATTTAAAACTTTTTTCACAGTAATCAAAACATTATGCTAGGGGCTTCCCTGGTTGCGCAGTGGTTAAGAATCCGCCTGCCAATACAGGGGACATGGGTTCGAGCCCTGGTCTGGGAAGATCCCACATGCCACGGAGCAACTAAACCCATGCACCACAACTACTGAGCCTGTGCTCTAGACCCTGTGAGCCACAACTACTGAGCCCACGTGCCACAGCTACTGAAGTCTGTGCACCTAGAGCCCATGTTCTGCAACAAGAGAAGCCACTGCAACGAGGAGCCCGCACACCACAAAGAAGAGTAGCCCCCGCTCTCCGCAACTAGGGGAAAACCCGTGCCCAGCAACGAAGACCCAACGCAGGCAAAAAAATAAATTAAATAAAAATTAAACAAAAAGGGGGGGGGGAAGGAACATTAATTCATTCATGTGTTTAGGGAAAGGGGCTAAAAATGTTAAAAAAAGAAAAAAAAACAGTATGCTACTGGCATAAAGACTGGCATATAGACCAGTAGAATAGAATACGGAGCCCAGCAATAAACACCCCTGTGTATTTGGTCAAATAATTTTTGACAAGGGTGCCAAAACCATTCAATGAGGGAAAAGATAGTCTTTCCATCAAAATAAAAGGGAAAACTGGATATCCATGTGCAAAAGAATGATGTTGGACTCACACTTTGCACTATATGTAAAACTAACTATATAAAATTAACCCCAAATGGATTTAAGACCTAAACATAAAAGTGAAAACTATAAAACTCTCAGAAGAAAGGATGG